TGTGCGCTGCAAACTGCGGACGGCACAAGATACTTATGACGGCCCGGAGTCCCCCAGTGAGAATGAGCTCGTCGATTGACTGGGGGTTTGGGAGCTCTGGGGGTGGAGGGTTGGTTTCGGCCACGTGAACTGAGAAAAAGGATAATGTCGGCGCAGATGTAATGAGGCGTAGGAAGACGCCCAGTGGGATATCCTCCACCCCTCGAATCCCCAGCGACGAGAGATTATGCCCAGCGAGATAATCGACGAGGATGCAGTCTATCCCTGAGACACGTTCGGCCCAGCGAATTTTGCTGATGTTACACCGCTGCACCTGATGGAGGATGTTGATCACCTGGCGGAAACATTCAAGCTCAAGATCCGTCGCAACGATCGGTAGATTGTCGATATCTAGGTCGGTGACGTATGCGATGATATGCGGCGATTTCCTCAATAACCGCGATGCGGCGATGTAATTCGTCCGAGGTTCGGCGTCCTTGCCAGACCCCGTTGCGCGGAGCGCCAGCCGACGCAGGAGGATGCGCTGACTGGAGCCGGTGAGACATGAGGATGCGAGTGAACAGGCTTTGAGGGTTTTCGTATCCTCCACTTGCTGGATGATGAGTTCGAGGAGCTCCTGGGCGAGATCCGTCATGGTCAGAAGGAAGAGAAGTCACAGGCGTTTGACAGACAGGTGTGATCCAAAAGCTGGTCCGCGCACGTGACCCGTCGCGCACAGATCCGATCGGCGATAGGCAGAGATCCAAGTCCAAGCTAATTGGGCCTGAGGCCTGGGACTGGTTTGGGGGGAAAGAGGGAAATCTTGACGTCGCCCAGTGTTCAAATCTTTGTTTGTTTTCCACATGCAGATCTAGGGAGCGAGCGCCGAGTTGGTGGGAACTGCCACCGGCTAAGAATCTGACGAAGGGATATTGTTGCTGGCCCGCCGGAAAGTTCGGGACAAGCACTTCGCTCAGCAGAGATGCAAATCTCACCGCAAAGAGAGGACGAATAACACACCCAGAAACCAACAAGGCTCGCCCAAACTCAGGCACTGCTTGTGACGAAAATTATAATGATAATCTCAGGTGCACCCGTCGCGTTCCTCTTACCCCCAAAGTCACGCCACCCAAAGCGCTGAGACGCCATCAATCAGATCAGTCTTTGCTGCCCTGAGAGCGAAGAATATGGACACATAAATTCGAACACACCCGAAAACACAGGCAGGAATGGGACATAACTGTTTCTGGTTATTTCACACAGAATACTCGCACACATCTGGTTACGCTCTCCATCTGGGATCAGCGAAGAATAAATGCGGAGAATCAGCCTGGGCCAATGGAAATGGGGCCGGGCAACGAACTGTATTGTATGATCTGCATGCTATCAATTTTGATGGCGAGCTTTCCGAGCCCATGAACCCGAGGCATCGCATGCTGGATAATCTCCTTCGCCTCTGTCATGTCCGGTGCGCCGCTAGCTAATATCCCCCATCAAACGCGCGGAACCACTCCGTTGAACGCGAGCAAGTTGTCTACGGCAGATAGAATCGCAACATCGATATCGAGGTTGTAACTTGTGAGCAGCCTTGGTCAGATCGGCCGCGGAGACCAGCCAGACGGAAAGAAGCAAGGAAGATGAGCTAGGCTGCTATTAAAGCTTGAGCGTTTGAGAAACGACGATTAGGACAGCGAGAGGTTCAAATGTGCGGTCGATTGGCGGGAGAGAGCAAGGAGAGCAAACCAGAAAGGATGCCACGTGGAATACGTTATTAGGGAGAAAGCGGGAGGATGGCATTGGGGACGACGTACCAGCGCTAACAATGACGCGGCGTTCGAGGCGATGGGCGACAGGCGCGTTGTCGCAGTGGGAATCACTGCGAAGCTAGCACTGATGCTCACACATGCGCGGCCCAGGTCCAGCCACGGCTACTCGATGACCGAGTCCATTGTGCATGGATGGAAGTGAACGAAGAATCGAGGGAGCAGCGCTACACAGCCACCAGCCCTTTTTCGTCCGAGTCACTGTGACCGTGACTAGTGTTGCCGCGGTCAGGTTCAGAATCGCTTGAACCGGACCTGAAGTCCGGTTCAGTGGCTGTGAGGTTCACTGAACCGAACAAGGTCTGGTTCAAGGTCCAAAAAAATAGAGAATTTGCTGAACCTCGCTGAACCCGGTTTGAACCTCGAACCTGTACTTAATTGATCTCAAGTAACTCAACTCTCCACAGTCAAGTCGTATTTGAAAAATAAATTGTGGCTCATGAATGAAATTATATGAGTCAATTTTGAATACACTTGAGAGGCACGGAATGATTGACTTACTGCACTCTCATAACCGCGAGGGATGCACACAGTTGCAAGATAGATCGGGATCAGTCTGATCCCAGAAGTTCAGAGTATTTGCCTCTGGATGAGCGTCGATCCTGAATTCTTAAACAGCGGCAGGGAAAGCGGGAGAATCGGAGCACAAAATAGCGAAGGATCCGGAGGGCGTTGCATTCGGTCAGAAGCCCAGTTTACTGCATCTGGCGCAAAACCTATATTGAATGTGGTAGAGTAGAGCAAACTGGGGACTCTTAGAAAGACATGGGGAGGTTGTTGTTGAGTCGCCGCAACACCGGCAGCAATATATACCACCTACTTCAGCTTAGTTCGCTGCTGAGAAGAAAAAGAGTGGTTCAAGGTCCGAGCCCGGTCTGAACCTGAACCGGAGCTGGCTGAACCTGAGCCTGCGGTCCGGTTCAGTAAACCGAACCCGGGGTCCAGTTTAAGGTTCGGGAAATTTGCCTCTGAACCGGAGCTGAACCGGACCGCGGCAACACTAAGGTCCGTGACTTTGCTCGCCACCCATCTCTCAAGCGCAGCGAATTCCTCGCTGTGCCGGCGGGGTTCACGTTTTATCTAATCCATTCATCTGACAGGAGTCCGCGGATGCGTCTCTGGAGTGCTGTCTGCAGCCGAATGTTAGCAGAATCCAGATGCGTGGAAGTGAACTGTGGTAAACCCCCAAAATAACGCTGATTTAAATAGGCTCCTAGTGGATTGAGGCCCACTAGCACGCGGTCAGCGCCTGCTCTCTATTATTCTATATCTCTCCAGAAGCCTATCTGTGGGGGATGCTCATTCTATTCGAGCCTGGGCCTTGCACTGTGAACATTCCAATGTTTTCTTCAGACCGACAACGAAACAACGCTGATTCAAGTGCGTTGGGAGGCAGCAGTGGAAGGCCCAGTAGCGCATGAATTCGCGCCTCCTCTCAATATATCCTCTTTTCAAGCCTGTCCGCGGGAGGTGCTCGTTCGAATCGAGCCTGGGTTCTATTGGGCTGCTCGAATTTTTTTCGCGAAGTCAACGAATAACGCTGATTTACAGCTGATCTCTAAACTAATGAGATCGATCAGTTTTTTTTTGCTCGTTCCCAAAAAGGAGATTCCAGCGAAACAAGAGTCTACTTTACCTCCAAGAGTACCTGCAACAAAAATTGATGCTACAGTAACCAGTTTGAGCTCCCTGAGCCAGAGCGCCCCACGAAATGGGGGGAAATCATGCGGAAATGGCAAAGTCGGGAAAGCCCGGACAGTCACTACGTTCCGGCATCGCCTAAACTTAGCGTGCTAGACTCTGTCTAGCCCAAGTCTGGCGACGATCGATCAACCAAACAGATCAATAGGTCTGTTTAGAAGATGGCCAGTTTTCGCCCCAGTCACGTGCGCCCAATAAGGAAATTCGCGTGCCTTGTTTGTCTCTCGACCGAAAGCGACGACGAACCACTCGTGGACCAGCCAGTGGTTCGTCTGCGGAAGCTGAGCCATTGTAGTGGACTGTCCCACCCACTTCTCCCATCAGAAGAATCAAAATTCATGTCAAACAGCGTGGCGCTGCATGCAATGCATTATTTATGCTGTTGTGTGTAGTACTGTCAGTACTGTACATGGCAGGATAATACACTGGTCTCCCATGCTGTTATACCAGAAGGGCGGATGGCAGAGCCCTTCCTGAGGAATTCAATGGATTTCTCACGCTGATCTCCTTTCATCCACGCGAGCATGGCATCCCCGGACTTCCAACGTAGTTTATAATTCTGCTGGAGGTCGTACTCAAAGCTTCCGACAGCAGCATCGATGAAGGGAATGATCCCGGGTGGGGATGGGGGGGGTGGCATGACCCCGAGTCGCAGTCAGGGATGGAAAAGAGTGGCGCGTGATTGAACGGTGTCGACGCGTCCGACGCGTTCGGTTGACGCGCGTCATTAGGGGCTTGGCGCGCATCAACATTTGGGAGATGGAATGAAAAGGCGGCCATGAGTGGGCGGGATGGCAGGGGGAGGAGAGGAGAACGTCGGGCCACCCATAGAAATGCTTACTGGCCATATTGGGAGGATAATGGCTGCCCGTGAACCGAACCACTGAATGGTTCAGCAGCAGTTACCGTTTGCGGTGGAAGGACAAACATGGCACGCGAATTTCCTCATTGGGCGCACGTGACTGGGGCGAAAAGTCAAAGACTCTGTTTAGAAGTGTCTATTGATCTGTCTGGTTGATCGATCGTTGCCAGACTTGAGCTAGACTCGGCTAAATTTCTAAGTTTAGGCGATGCCGGAACGTAGTGAGTCACGTGTGTCATTGATCGCGTGTATTATTTCGGCCATTGGCGGGCACTTACGCTTCTCTATGTCATTTTGAAGGACTGGCAACACATGGGGAGGCAAGACACTCAATCTCATGGATTTATCGAATGAATTAGGTGTGGGTGAGCAAATATTCCTTTTTGGGAACGCGAAAAAAAAGTCGGGCCGTCTCATTAGTTTCGAGATCAGCTGTAAATTCGTGGATAGGCTTTGGATGAAGGCCCAGTAGCGGGTAGTCAGTGAATGCACCCGATCCGATATCGTCGAAAGTGTATTCAGCAGGCGCAATTCGTCTGAATTGAGCCTGGGCCCTGGTTCGCCATCTGTATTTTCTTTCCCCCAGGGCCAGCCAAACAACACTGATTTAATCCTGTTCACAGGTCCAAGAAGAAGGCCCAGTAGCGGATGGTCCGCGCCTGTTTTCTATATCTCTTCATAAGCATTTCTGCAGGAGACGCTCGTTCGAATCGAGCCTGGGCCTTTGACCGTTCTCCTCGTCTTTTTCCGCCGAGTCGACGAAATAACACTGATTCAACCAACTTCACAGGAACCAGAGGGAGGCCCAGTAGCGGATGGTCCGTGCCTGCCCTCAATAGTTGATCCATTGTAAAGTATGCAGGAGATACTCGTTCGAATCGAGCCTGGGCCGTACGAACTCATCCACATCTTTTGGCGGAATGAACGAAACGACACTCATTTATTTACGTTCACAGGGAAAGGAGGAAGGCCCAGTAGTGGATGGTCCGCGCCTGCACTCAATAGGGTGGCTCGAGGAAACTATTACAGTCAATCCACGGACCTTGCATTTCCCGCGGTCCTTGCACGAGATTTTATTTCTGAGCCAAGAGTCCTGGTTCTTTTCATATACTCTCTCCCTATGATATGAGCTTTCTTGCCACATTTTTTTCGAGATTTGAGGTTGCTTCGGAATTGGGGAATATGCGGTGCAATGGCCAGAACTGCATTGCCGACAACCGGGCCTCGAGGATTGGGCTGATTTTGACCGGGAAAATTGACCGGGATGAGCTTTAACATCGTAGGAAAATAGTGCAAAAAAATTGGGCCCAACAACTGCTCGGGTCGTGCGGAATTACGACGAGAAAGCTGCGCGTCTACGTGATGTTGATGCCCACACAAACAAAGCGTGGTCCTACACCAGCTCGGTTTCGTGACGAGGGTGCCGAGACGAGCGAGGCCGAGGGTGGGGAAGTCGATGGGACAGGATGCGGGGATGTAGAGATGTTGTCTGGGGATGATTCATCAGCAAGTTCTGACTCAGCGCTGGAGTTTGAGTCGGAGGAGGAGATGTGAAGGAAATCGGGCAGCACATAAGGCAATGCATGCATGGGTAGATGAATCGAGGCCTAAAATGTCGAAAACCATCGAAATTTCCATGTACCGAGTCGTACGTGGCTTGTTTGCGCAGAAATGCAAGGACTGATTAAGACCGAAAATCCGGCCTGCGCCGATTCGGCTAAAAAGTGCAAAACTCAATGAATTCTTTCAAACTCTTTTGTAGGTTCAGAGTCTACACGTCTTTCCACACCATCTAGGTACTTTACGTCATCCTGAAAGCTCAATTTTACGGCGAGAAAGGCGGATTTCTAAAAGCTCATGCAAGGTCCGTGGATTGACTGTATATATCCAGGAGTGCTCGTTCGACTCGAGCCTGGGCCGTTAACTGTTCTTCTCGTCTTTTTTTTTGCCCAGCAGCGGACGATTTCCGCACCTGGGCTCAATTGTTTCTGTAGAGCATGATGAGCATCTCTGGCAGGAGTCGCTCGTTCGAATCGAGCCTGGGCCATGAGGCGCGGGTTTCAAAGTTTTTCCCTCTCGGAGTCAAAGGAATAATGATCATTTGCATAAATCGATTCACAGGAAGTGGAAGAGGGCCCAGTAACGGATGGTCCGCACCTGCACTAAATATTTTCGACAATGTGTTTCTGCGGGAGATGCCCGTTCGAATCGAGCCTGGGCCATGGATCGGATAGACCCATCTTTTTCACAGTCGATGAAACAGCGCTGATTCAACTGAGCTCGTAGGTGGGATGAGAAAGCCCAGTAGCGGATGGTCTGCGTCTGCATTCAATGATCCAATGGTATCTGCATGTCGTTTCTGCAGGAGGTACTCGTTCGAATCGAGCCTGAGCCTTGCCTCTTCTGCTCGCAGTTTTTTCGTGGAATCAACGAAACAACGCTAATCTAAATCGGATAGTAGGCAGCAGAGAAAGGATGGTCCGCACCTCCACTCAATTATATTCTTCTGTATAGCGTCTCTGCAGGAATAGCTCGTTCAAATCGAGCCTGGGCCATACACTTTGGGAAAAATATTTTGTTCCTCTCGGAGTCAGCGAAACAATGCTGTTTAATCACGTTCACATGGTCAAAGAGGAAGGGCTAGTAGCGGATGGTCCGCACCTGCAAATCGAGCCTGGGCCATTACATCTCAGACGACAGCCTTTTCCCAGAGGCAATGAACTGCAGCTGATTTAAACTTCACAAGGTAGGATGGGAAGGCTTGGGCCGCCGCCGATTTATTCTCAGAGGCAAGGAAGTTCTGCTGGACGCGTCGGCCGGCTCAGTTGAATTTGATAAATAAAATTACGACCCAACTCTAAACTAAATAAAATGTGTGCGGCCCGAATCCAGTCCGTAGACGGGTGGTGGGCAACAACAGAGATCCCGGGCGTCCGCGATCCATTCAGTTGACAAGGATTCTAAGGCGCCAGGAACGGAGGAATACAAACACGCACCCGCCGGACGTTCGAGGCCCACAAGCGAGCTGAATTCGAGGACGGCGAGTCCGCCCACAGTGCGGTAAGCATCGGCACCTCAATCGTAGCAAAATCATCCATGGACCCCGGGTGCATTCGGGGGTAGGACAGGGATTCGCCGTGAGGAAGGATCTGGAGGGTCATCGAACCCAGGCAGAGAACAAAACCAGTAAGAATTTGAATGCCGACGCGCGTGCACTGGCAGGAATGTAGAGGAGGCAGAACGCAAGAGTGTATAACCTATATCGTTCCTTTCCCTTCCATCCTCACGGTCTTGTACCTCGTAACGTTTTTCTTTCCGATGTATGCGTTCCGAGTCGTTGCGCCTGATTCCTGATTCCTATAGTGTCAATGGGCTCGGGCGAGGAGGGAGGGGGGGCGAGGGGGACGTACAGATGATAGATAACGGATGAGAGCCCTTTCCTTGGCCAACATGCCGTCGTGGGCCGCCAGCATGCTGCACATGAAGTTCCGAGTGTGCCATCCCCGTGATTCAAGGAGTTCAGTGACATGGTCGAGCAGGTTTGCATCTATGGCCGCCTGCATGCCTTCAGGCGATTTTGTGATCCAATAGAGTGCCCGTATTGCACTCTCGATGACACGGAGATTTTCGTCACTGATCCAGCATTATCAACACCTTGGGGAAAATTAAGGAATTAAGCCCACCGCAAGAGGGTTACGAGCTGCTCGCATATATTTGCCCCCAAGACACCCGGCGCCGTTGCCTTGTGGGATGCCATTGCCACCAACAGCTCAAAGGATTGCTCACGAATGGCAGTGATCGGGGATTCCAACAGTTCCGCTACTCCGTCTAGCACATGTGCGTCGATGGCGGCCAGCGCGCCTTCAGGATGGCTGGTGATCAACCCCAGTGCGGATAGGGCTTCCATTCGGACATTGAAATCCTCATCTCTAGTCCCGAATCAGGGATCTTCTGCATCGGAAACAAATTACCGACACTCACTGCAAGAGTGATACAAGCTGTTTGCAGACGCTGGCTGACCACGTGCCAGTGCGACTCGGACGCCAGCTTGCCAGGAGTCCCAGGAGACAGGACGCCGAGCACCGGACGTTGGTATTGCGTGATTCGAGGAGGGTGTTGGGGGATGCAATGAAAGGAAGTCCACCATGGTGCGCGCGTCATGATCATTCTGAGAGTTGACTCTCGCAGTCAGTTCCCTCAGCACCGCGGTCTTTGTGGCAGATGATACGTGTTTGAACCTGTACGATACGTTAGCCAGAGGACAAGGGAAAATACCATGCCCAGACTCGAGATAACTAGCATAAATCTCCATATCGTCCCTCGAAAGCGGTTTGCCATCATGTTCGGCGATGTAGTCCAACGCCTGCCGGTGATACATAAGCTTCATGAGAGGCTTCGCGAGTGCATGTAGGTTGCTGTTGGGGCCGGTCGGATTGTTGTCCGACCACCAACTACGTACGCTCTCGGGAGTACGTTGACCGGTCAATGAGTTCATGGTGGGGAGAAGGGAGGAAAATGGAGAGAGCGTGGATACAGAAGAGAGTGCAGTGCTTTTATATTTGGAATATAACAGCCTCGACGGTCAGTCCTGTCGCCATGGCTGCACGGCAAGTTCCCGCTTTTGATGATAATGCTGTTTCCGGACTGGACGCGTTACAGTTAAGGAAGAGCACGGGTCGCGAATTCGTGGAGGGGTAGGAGGGGTAGGGTCTGGCAGGTACGGGTACGGTGCGTCATTTCAGAAACCCGTCGATACCGTGACCCGGCCCGCGGGTGCGGGGGGTATCGGAGGAGAACCGGGGCTGATCGGAACCAGTGCGGTAACAAATTCATCCTTCCGCTTCGACGACATCTGACAAGAGCTCCCGATGAGAAAGACAGACCCTGGTAACCTTCGGCACTGACACCCGTTCCTCGACCCACCCTGGAATCCTCCCTCTGTTTGTCATTCAACTCACCGCTCGGTGCCAGAATACATACTCCCGGTCTTCATCTGGATTGCCGATACTTAGGTTCTCACAAGTTTGATCTACCACCAAACTCTTCCACCGAGCATCATGTCCTACTCCGGCTTTGACACTGGTGATATCACCACTCAGCCTGTCCACCACGATCCCGACATGTCCGAGCAGGCTGAACCACAGCAGACTTGGGAATAGTGATGGCCGGGTCGGGTCGGGTCTTGAAAGCCCGGGCTTGGGTCGGGTCTTGGCGGGCTTGGGCTTCGAAAAATCCCGAGCCCGACCCGACTTAGGGGGTCGGGCCCAGGTCGGGTCGGGCTTAGGCTCAGGCCCGGGCTCGGGGGTAGAAAAACGGTCCAAATCCTATATCTATCTAAAATATAAGTATGTCGTCGGCATCCTCTCCTTCGTCCGGCTCGTCGTCATCTAGCAACCTGTCCCACACACCCAATTTATCGGGGTCCTCATCGTCACCGTCGCTGTCCGCCCCATCAGGCGCCAGTGTAGGTTCATTGGAGGAAGAAGGCACATCGGGAAACAAGATTTCGCCGCGGATCGAACACTTCAAGAATTGAAGTGCCTCGACGACATCACTTTCAACCGATTACGTCGTTTTGAAATTGTAATACCAGAAGGCCCGTTAACTCGAAACGGATTCCGTTTAGATTGCGAGGTAGTCAAGGGCCAATGATCCCCAAGTGGCGTGGAAGCGGGAACTTCGAAAATGCTACAACTTACATAGAACTGGTTGGGGCTGCAAATA